AAGGGTTTTATAGGTCACACTAGCAGTGGTAATTGCATCTGGGAGCTGACTGGTAACCAATGCAGCTTGCAAAACAGCAATGATACATAGGTGTAATGAACAAGCTGTAGCTTGCAGATGGTCTTCAAGGGTAGCCCCATGGAGATTATTTTGCAGTAATCCAATTGTGACATAACTAGGGTATGAGTGACTGCCTGAAGGCCTCTCAGTCAAGGAAAATGTGCAACTGACATACAAGGTAGACCTGTACAAAGGACCTCCTGGTCAAAGCTACCACTTGCTCTTTGATCAGTAGCTGCAAATCCAGGAGGACCCTCAAATTGTGCATTAGTCTCAAATGGGGAAGTGCAATCCCATCCAAAGACCAAAGATGAAAACGTCCCAAATCCAGGGGGCTCAGACAGCCATGGACACAGCCACTCATTCTTATAACTCATTCTGAGCCTGGGTTTGTTCTTCCCCACTCAGACCCAAACAGCCTCAATACACTGGGTCAGTACATTGACAGTTTCACCCAAGTAGCCCAGGTTTGAGAGCATAATGATGATGCCAGACCCAGAACTGATGGAAGAATTCAGCTAGCTGTTTTATATAAATGTTAAATAGGAGGGGTGAGGGTGTTGAGACCCAAGGTACCCCACAAGTGAGGGGCCAAAGGTGGGACCTTTCCTCCCCTCATTTCAACATTGACTGGAACCAGCCCCTTGGATGCACCACAGCGTCCTTCTAGGCAGGTGTCTCCCCCTTCCCCATCAAAGAGGCTGACACCATCATATGAAGCCAACTGCAAGACACTTCATGGGCTATCTTGACAATCCAGGAGGGATCTAGATCTAACCCCAGGTGGTTGAATACATAATTCAAAAGACCTTGTCTGCTTCCTTGGAAGTCACAGAATCCATCTCAGTCCAGATAACATCACAAGCCTGTGCCCCGGGCAAGTCTCATGGATCTGCCCAGTCAGAGTCCAAATCCAAGCAGCTTTGTCTGCTGGAGAACATGAATATTCCTCACCATGGCCATGTAGATGTTTCTGGGACCCATTCCTACCTAGCAGGAAATGGGTCACCCTAAAAAGGGCTACCAGGTGGCTATCAGTAGTTGTAATAAGGTGGAGAAACAGAAGTATTTTGTCACCCTTATCACCACAATGTAAGCCTGCCCTTTCTCTTTCTCCAATGGTGGTCTAGGCATTTCTTCTTGAATTCCATCTCACAGAGCATCTCAGAGAACCAAGGTACACTCCAGGATTGGTGTAAAGAGAGAGGACACATAGGAGCAATCCTAAGTCTTAGTCACTTGTCTGTTCCAGGCTGCCCATCAGATCCTCAGGGAAAACCCTAAGCTCCCTCTGGTATCCAACCAGGTCTATCAGTTGCTCGGTGGGCCAATCAAACAAATTGTATCTTCCTGTGGGGATGGGTGGCCCCAGCAAGCCTCTCCGCACCCACATTCTCATTCCACTAAACAACTCACTCCCCAACAACTCACCCCCACCCCCACTATAGCTAAGCCTGGCCTTTCCCAAGGCCCTCAGTACCCCCTACCAGTTGCCCTGGTACTCTGAAGCTGCAAGGCACCTGGTCCTGTAAAGGAGCTTCTATGGCCCAGCTACAGCCCTTCCCTCATATTCCCCTGTTCCTCCTAGCTAGGCAGATAATTACAAGTCCAGATCCCTGACAGAGGTCAAACTCCCAAGCCTGAAGAAGAGGCCCCAACAGAGTGATGCCCTAAAACCCAACCCCAGGGCAGTCTCTCCAATCAGTATGTTTAATAGTTCATAGACATATAACCCATTTTTCAGAGATTATCTCATAAGCACCATTACAAGCAACAAACATACTACCCCACATACAATATTTCCAATGATATCTTTATATCATTGATAGCATTTGAGCTAGAGAGTAAAATGAATCCCCAGATTCTGTTGAATTCCACATTCTACATTCTTCTCTAGCAATTTATTCCTGTTCAACTTTCTGGGTCATCACTAAGCAATTTGTCAAATGAAAGGAATAGTCCAGGTATAATTCAAAACAATGCTTACACCACCTTCACTAATCCAGAATATATAAATGCTGACCCTACATTGTTCAGTTCCTGATCTGTTCCTAGTTATTTGTTGTGGTTTTTTAATGTTAGCTACAATCTTAATAAACTATCATGTCTTCAATTGCCCATCAGTCCCTAGTTTCAGTCTTGTTGGTCTGACAGTCTTCAATTTAACCCCAACAGAGCAATCCTGACAAAGTTATCATATAACCTATCTTGAAACAATAATTTTTTTCTAGATTTATGTCTGGAAACATGAAAAATTATCAGTCACAATTTTTTTCACAAACTGTGTTACTGAAACTTAATTTTGATTGTAAACCAAAGATTGATGGACTCACAATAGTCATCCCTAGTCATCTCCTGTACAGACTATTGCAATGCTCTCTACATGGGGCTACCCTTGAAAAGTATCCAGAAGCTTCAGCTGGTTCAAAATGCAGCTGCACAGGCAATTTTAGGTGCCCCAAACATGGCAAGTTACACCTTTGTAGCTGCATTGGGTCCCAGTTTGCTTCTGGGTCCAATTCAAAGTGTTGGTTATCACCTTTAAAGCCCTACATGTGGGACTGGGTTACCTGAGGGACCATCTCACCCTCATTATATACACCCAAGCCACCCGGTCAGGCAGGGAGGGTATGCTGTGGACCCAGAATAGCGACTGGCAGTCCAGAAAGAGAGCCTTCTCTGCCATGGCCCCCGCCCTATGGAATACACTCCCCCCAGAGGTGAGGCAGGCCCCCCCAGAGGTGAGGCAGGCCCCAACTCTCTTGAACTTCCAGAAAGCAGTCAAGACCTGGGTCTGCCAACTGGCATGGGGCAAAAAAAGGGGCAACCAACCTTGAAGATGCTCCCATATGTTAACATCTTACTGATCATCAACACCTTGGAAGATATTATTATTTGCGTATGTGTTTGGTTTTATTTTATTTTTACTGTATTTTTATATTGTTTTTATTGTATTTTAATTAATATTTATTGTTGTTTTATTCTGAACCGCCCAGAGTCACTTTTTTGTGAGATGGGCAGTATCTAAATTTGAAATAGGAAGGAAGGAAGGAAGGAAGTGGGGCAAAAAAAGGGGCAACCAACCTTGAAGATGCTCCCATATGTTAACATCTTACTGATCATCAACACCTTGGAAGATATTATTATTTGCGTATGTGTTTGGTTTTATTTTATTTTTACTGTATTTTTATATTGTTTTTATTGTATTTTAATTAATATTTATTGTTGTTTTATTCTGAACCGCCCAGAGTCACTTTTTTGTGAGATGGGCAGTATCTAAATTTGAAATAGGAAGGAAGGAAGGAAGGAAGGAAGGAAGGAAGGAAGGAAGGAAGGAAG